GAACATTTTAAACTTTAGAAAAACACACAAAACAAATACCACCTCCATACATAAGGAGCTACGCTTTTTGCTGACAGTTGAGTCGGTGACCTTTTAGTTGTGAGGCAGGAACGTCAGCCACTATTTTCACCTCTATAAAAATGTTTCATTTAATATTTTTATTTTGACATTGAACTTGTTTTTCCTCTTATGTTTTAAACAATTTTCTTTTATTGAGAAAACGCCAAAATGCATGGCAAAACCTGTCCTCTCCTGCCACCTTTCGGTTTGTTGATGCATTTACAGGATCATATTCACGTTCATGTTTTTCATAGGAAATTGATAAGAGAAGATTCTGAGAAATTCTACATCTTTGATGAAAGACAGAAACTAGTATAGTAAGACATCATTTACTAACTAAATATGTTTTGGTTTTAATAAAAACTGATATTACTTTACATGTTTGGATGTGAAACTCCACCACTACATGTTGCTAAATTCTATACAGTATTCTTTCATTTTCGAAGAAAAAGAATTTGGTAAAGAGCCGTGCTCTGGTGACGCCTTAATCCTGCACCGTCACTCTTTTCTTTCTTAGTTTCAGTCAAATAAAACTGAATTATAGTTCATATAAAAGAAGCGAAAAATAATTCAATGCCGATTTAACGACTCGTTTCATTCCTTAAACGTGAAAAACGTTAAATATTAAAAGAAGTGTTGTGGCAATTACGTGAAATGTAGAAATTACACCGTTTTGAGCGGTACCTGAACGCCACGCTGGACCACGAATGACGTAGGACGCAGAGGCTGGTGGTTGTGGTGGCTCGGGGATTACGGAAATCTCTAGCATCGCAGATAAACACGACTGGGAGGTGTAAAACCAGCGAATATACAGCTATCACAACGCCGAGTGAACAATCCAAAAGTCAGTCTGTCTGCTTCACACTGCGAGGCTCGACATGTCTGAGACATACGGTGAGACTCTAGTTTATTTTCTTCACAGCTAACTGCTATGATAGAATGAGCTCCTAATACCACCAATAGTCTGCTAGATAGCAGGCTACAGTGGTTAAACGTTGACTAGCCGCGGGCTAACTTGCTAACTCATCATTCGTGGTGTTAAAAAGCGGCAAAAGGGCATCTTTTTTTGTGGCTTATTTCTTTTCATTTCGGCGTTTCTGTTGTGACAGCTCAGTTTATGTTCATTTTACACCTCTGTCATGGTGGGTGGAGCAAGGGGCTTCCTTTAAAAGCTCAGCAACACGAGCAAACATATGGTAAGGCAACCTCAAGAAAAAGTTAGCCAAACATCCCTCACGGGGAAACAGTCTGTTAGTGTGGGTGTATTTATCGTGGTATCGCGTAACGGAGGAGACTCGGTGACCTTGTAGGCTGCAAGGGCTCTGTTTTTGGTCAAAGAGCTGTGTTTGTAAGTGTTGGCAGTAGGGCCTGTAGAAAGGAGACATCAGCATCAGCATCATCGCCACCACCTCCTTCGTCTCGTATTTACTTACACAGCAGCAGCTACTAAGGTGTGTCATGGTTTTTGTCCACATTAATTTTTGTAATTCTGATTTTAGTAATCTCATTTATCTTTGCTTCAGATTAAACATAAACAGCAGGACAATTTTATCTGCACTTGCTTCGCCACTACTTTACCCTAAAGACATTTCATCAACAATCTTAGACTGGCCATTATTTGTTGTTTTATTTTTAAAATATTTTTCATTACGGCTTGACGTAAATAAAAAACACACACCAAGAACTGTACCTGTGACATTAGAGACAACATGATAAATGTTCTAATATTTCCTTGAGAAGATTATGGTTTAATGCCTTGATTAGCGGAGGGGGAGTGGGGCAGGTATAAACTGTATAAGATTTAGATAAATACCGGTTTAAAGAATACCAAACAAGCACAATCGAACCATCAGCTCAGTTAAGAACACACAGCCACAACTGGGTTTGTTTTAAAAACAGCTGAGGAATGAGGGGTTCATATTTATGTCCACTTAATGGACTCATTTTGGTTTTTTATGGGTTCAGCGCAAGAGCGGAAGAACTCTATACTGATAAATGATC